TCCGAGACACAGCACCCCCAGGCTCAGCACCCCCAGGCGCAGCACCCCCAGGCTCAGCACCCCCAGGCCCAGCACCCCCAGGCTCAACGCCCCCAGGCGCAGTACCCTCAAGCTCAGCACCCCCAGTCGCAGCACCCCCAGACCCAGCACCCCCAGGCTCAGCACCACCAGCAGCACCAGAGTCAACAGCTACCTCGACAGGCTCAACTGCATCGACCTGGGACACACCTGAGGGGGCAGGACCCTGAGGGGGGAGGGGGTCTACCAGAGGGGGACCTGGCGTAAGGAAGAGCGGCGGGGGAGGGAGGGACGCAGTGCGGTAGGGGAAGAGACGGTAGTAGGGAACCGACTCGTCAAAGGTGACGTCCTGGGACGCGAAGACACGGCGCGAGGTGGGGTGGTAGAACTGCCAGCCTGGCGCGTCAGGGGGAAAGCCAAGGAAGACGCAGGGAACAGCACGAGAGGACAGCTTGTCCGCAGACAAGTCGCGGACAAACGCCCTAGATCCCCAGACACGGAACGCAGACGCATCGCCAGCCTTCCCCGTCCACAGCAAAGCAGGGGAGGTCTCCGGCTGGGAGACCCGGGGGTGAAGGTTGAGCTGATGCGCCGCGTACCGAACCGCAAACGGCCACAGAAAATGGGGAGCAGCCGCATGGATCATGGACGTACGAGCGACGTCCATGATCATGCCAATGCGGCGCTCAGCAATCCCATTTTTCTGTGGAGAGTCTGGAAGCGTGAAGGTCTGGCGGATGCCTCGTGCACGACAGAAGGCCCGCAGAAGGTCAGAGGAGAACTCTCCGCCTCTGTCGGAGTGCAGACGCAGAACAGGAAAGTCCGAGCCGAAACTCTCCCGGAGCTGGAGACGAGCTGCGCGGATCCAGGCGATCAACACCTCAGTGACGTCACCCTTGCTGCGCAAGGGGAAGACTGTGGTGTAACGCGAGTAGTCGTCAACCACCAGCAGGAAGTAACGCTCGTGACCCTGCCCACGGACGCGGGCTGGGCCCCACACGTCCATGTGAAGCGTCTGCAGCGGAGCCTCTGTCGGAGGAAACTCGGAGGAGTGAGGGGCAGCGCGCTGCCGCCCCTCGACGCAGGGAACGCAGGTGGGGGCAGGCCCCGGAGGAAGGGGAGGGAGGGACCGGGGGAGGCCAGAGACAAGAAGACGGGAAGCCATGCCTCGAAGACGAGGCAGGGAGGGGTGACCAAGGCGGTGGTGCCAAAGGAGAGTCCGGTGCGACAGGAGACGCCACGAACAGGGAGCAGACTCAGGACCAGACCTGGATGCCGCAGCAAACACCTGACCCGACGCAGCTACCTGAGCGGACGCAGTGACTGGAGGAGACGCAGTAGTCAGTGTGTACAGGCTCGACCCCGGCCGACGGGCAAACGTGGCCAAGTGTCGGCCCGTGTCCGCACACGTGCAGTGGGTCACCCGCTGACGCGCAGGGGTGAACTGGTCAACCCCTGCATCCTGGAGGTCAGCACCCGCCACCAAGTTCGTAGAGAACGAGGGGAGGTAAAGACCCGACAGGGAGCCAGACGGGACCGCCGGACACGGTAGGACAGTGGAGTAGTGGGCAAGGACGGGACCCCCAGAGGGGTCTGCCAGGGAGACTGCAACAGGCCGACTGAGCGGCGTGAGAGTGGTGCAGTCTCGAAAGAAGGAGCGGGAAGCACCCGAGTCAAGGGTGAAGGTGTGGGTGTCCGGTGACGACGCAGTACCTGAGAGCGCAGACTCACCGGCACCTGGGGCGGCAGACGCACTGGCACCTAGAGCAGCAGCCTCACAAGTACCTAGCGCAGCAGCCTCTATGCCTGGGTCAGGCGGAAAACACCGGTAACAGTCACCCTCATCACTAATAGTCACAGCATACATGGCAGCAAGAATAGCATCATAATCAAGATCATAGATCGCAACACCCGCCCTAGACAGCTCGCCCCAGCGAGGGATCTCAGTAGCGTCGGGGAACTGGTGGCGCCACGCGTCCGTCAGACGGCCGAAGCAGCGCTGGGTGGGGTGCGCGCCCCCACACTGCTCACCCGCCCGGTCGCCGGTACGGAGAACGTAGGTACAGGGGCCAGCACCCCCGCCCCGCTGACGAGCAGCGTACCACTCACGAAGCTGCTGGGGGGAAGGGGTCTCACGGGTACGCTGCTGCTGCTGCTGCTGGCGCGCACCACCACCGGAGCCAACCCTCGGCGTAGCACCACCCCGACCAGCTCCAGCGCCTCCGCCGCTACCTCCTCCACTACCGCCACCTCCGCCACCTCCGCTCCCACCGCCACCGCCGCCTCCACCTCCACCTCCAGTCCCGCCACCGACGCCCCCACCCCCGCCACCACCCCCACCGCCACCCCCACCCCCTCCACCACCTCCACCTCCGCCTCCGCCGCCTCCTCCAGCCCCGCCAGCACCCTTGCCCCCCTTGCCCTTGCCAGGGCGGCGTCTCCCGCTAGGGGCAGACGCCGCAGCGACCGACTCAAGACCAACGAGGTCGGCCGCAGCAGCAGAGGCAACAGAGGGCAAGAGGGGAGAGGGGGAGCACCCCTCAAAGATAGGGGTACGAGGGTCACCACGAGAGGCACCTACAGCGACTATGCTCTTCTCTGCCGCTAGAAGGCGCTCCTCGAGGAGGGCAACGGTGAGGGTGGTGGGGCAAACAGAGAGGAAGTGGTCCCTGACCGGGCGAAGGGTGTCAGGGAGCCGGGTGACTATGTAGTAGAGGGTGATGTACATGGGGGGGGGGTTCTTGGCGCAGAACTCAGCAGGAAGCGCAGCGCGGTAGCGAGTGTCACTAGTGCGAAGGTGCGTAATGAGGTCAGCGACAGTGGGAAAAGCGGCGAGGTCAGGGAAGAGGTACGGTAGGATGAGGCGGCTAAGCGCAGCAGTGGCAGGGGAAGAGTAGCGAGCAACTACAGCGTCGTACAAGGTCTTAGCACTCTTGTACTGGCTAAAGTGCGCACGCTCAGCGGTCGGCAAGTGGCGGCGCACAGCAAGGCGGGCAGCAGCATCGCGCGTGGCCCACTGTGAGCGAACAGTGGGGTCAGCATCAGCAGCAGGGGCAGGAGAGGCACCAGAAGTGAGGTCAAAGAGGGAGAGGCCGTCTGCTCTGTCGCTCAGTAGGAAAAGCTGCAGGTCATCTACCCAGACGTCAAAGTCAATGGCCCGGCCCTCAGCGTCAAAGGTGAGGACACTGGGGGAAGCCATGACAGCAGTAGACTAGCAGTGAGAGCAGCAGGCAGGGGCAGAGCAGTGGTGGAGGCGCTGCTCTTACCGGGCAGGCGAGAAGGACCGAGGCGCGTCGGCAGGAACAGGGCCGCGACAGCAGGAACGGCGGCTCGGCGGCTCAGCGGCTGCGGCGTCTCGGCGGCTCGGCAGCACGGCGGCAGTGGCGGCTCGGCGGCCCAGCAGCACGGCGGCAACGGCGGCTCGGCGGCTCGGCTGCGGCAGCGTCTCGGCGGCTCGGCTGCTCGGCGGGGCCGCGAAGTTGCGGCGACGGGGCCGCAAAGGGCGGTGGTGGGGTCGCACGGGTGGGGCGACGGGGTCGCGGGCGGCTGCGACGACAGGGGCCGCGGGCGGATGCGACGACGGGAGCGCAGGCGGCTGCGGCTACGAGGTCGCGGGCGGCTGCGACAGCAGGGTCGCGGGCGGTAGCGACGGTAGGGTCGCGGGCGGCTGTGGCGACAGGGTCGCAGGCGCCTACGACGCCAGGGTCACGGGCGGCCGCAGCGGTAGGGTCGCGGGCGGCCGCGGCGACGAGGGCGCGGGCGGCGCGAAGGGCGACGGGGCCGCGATGGGCGGCGTTGGGGTCGCGGGCGGCTGCAACGACGCCGCGCAGGGCGACGCGAGGGTGGGGCCGCGGGGTCGCGAGGGTAGGGCCGCGGGGCCAGCAGAGGCGGCGCCGGGGCTTAAAGGGCGGCGCGACGGGGCCGCTAAGAGAAGCGAGGGGGAGGGGGGGGGGGCGACTCGGGCAGGGGCCGAGCGCGCTCCGGGCAGGGGCCGAGCGCGCTCCGGGCAGGAAAAAAAGATGTGATGGTGGGCCCTAGGAACAGTTCCCACGAGGGAACCTGCTCTATACCATGTGAAAGTTTAGAACGAGAATGATTGCATTGAGCAGCATGAGGAGTACAAGTACCAAACCCTAGAATGTTGTACCCCATATGAGCTACCCCACTACAGCCTACACAGACTATAGTGCATAAGTTTGACAAGCCGTTCACGTAGTTACCTTTTGACGGCATCTGGCGTGTACACGTAGTGGAGTGTGTGGTTGCAGAGTATATGTACAACAAATCAGGCGCAGGCATGTGTCAGGCATTGTGTGTTGGCATTGGCTAAGGATTAAGGTGACGGAAGGCCTGGATGCGTTGCGGTGGTCATCCTCGTCGTTTACGTGCAGGCATGTGATTGGCATAGGCATGGTTACGAACCGCACATGTCTGTATAGTGATGTAACGTGGTTATTATTAAGATGACGTAATCAGTGCCAGATGTAGGGTCTACATAAACAGGAGACGAATTGTGACATTTGTAGTACCGTACATTGGCATCTAGTAGGGTAACGGACGGGTCACGTGGCTTCGAAGGTGACGTCATTGTGATTTCAATGTCACAATTTCGTGACTTTCCGGTCACTTTGTATGTGACGGGGCTCCTGGTACTCTCAACCATCACATTTACACCCCGGAGTTCGGGTTACGCCAAAGTCACTGGAAAGTCACATTTTCGTCACTTTCGACCCTTGTCTTTTCCGCGCAGTGCTCTCCAAGACTTGATGAGCCATTTTGTCCCCTGCTTGCCCCCCTCTTCCCTGCTTTCAATCTGTCAGATGACTTTTGAAGCGCCTCAAAGGTCAACTTTTAGGGTTTATCAAGAGCCATTTCGTTCCTTGCTTGCTTTCACCACGCCCATCTTGTCTCCCTCCTCTGCCCCGCCTTCGATCATGCTTGAGATCCCCCTTCCGACGCTTGCTCTACCCGATCTTCCAGCAATGAAGGACGCCAGGTGTTCCTGAAACTCGCTTCGTCCTGCGAATCCCTGCTGATCGCCTCAGCTCTAGTCAGTGAGAATTCTCCAAGTGTACCTGTGACTCCCTTGGTCCGGTTGATCCCTGCTGATCCGCTCAGCTCCGGATTTGAACCCGGGTCATCAAGCCATTCCATTTCACGGGAGCCATTGCAACGGTTCTGATTGAAGCACTGGAGAGCACAGTAAGTAAGGACCCCACTCCAAACCTTGAACCCAGACCAGGTAATGGGCTTATTCCGGTGCATACCCAGGTTCTGTATTCTTTGTGTGATCACCTCTTCAGCCAACGCACCATTGCATGTACTCGGTGGTGCTGTGCCATGCCATCATAATCCTGCAGAAACTTCACTTCACCCCCTTTTATTTCTGAAGCGCCTTTTTGTTTATGTATTTTCTTTTCTTTTTCAAAAACGTTGGTGTCCGTCGTCGCCCTCAGTGTCCGTGGTCATACCCACTCAGCCTCCCGTTCGCTCCCATGCCTCCTTCTGCTGAGCCCCCTACACTCACCTCTCCCCCTCGCCCGTGTTCCCCTTTCTTGCAAACCACCCCCTCACCTCATCCCACGGTTGGCCTGCTGGCCGTTTCCCTCCATCACTTTACCTTGCCGCTTCCCCCTCCATCCCCTCTGCGCCTACCCAGAATCCACACTGCCTGGTGCTCCCACATTCCCGCTTTCATCCTGCCTGATCGCACTCTCTGCTCCCACCCTTCTCCCTGCTCATTTTGCTGCTCTTGCTACACGCACAGCCTGCGTTAATCCAGAGCCCTACTGCAGTGAATGGCCGGGGCGATGGGTGAAACGGCAGTGTTGCTGACAGGTCTGCTACGTGCACTGGCTGCTGCTGCCTTGACGAGACTCATGCTGCTGCTCCTGTGCCTCCCCCTTTCTCATCTTGCCACCCCCACTACCCTCGCCGTCTGCACAGGCCCGGAGCTCTGCTGCTGCCAATGGCCGGGAGGATGGGTGAAACGGCTGTGTCGCTGACAAGGCTGCTGTGGGCTGCTGCTGCTGTGGCCGGACTCATGCTGTTGCTCGTCCTCCCCCCTCCCCGTCTTCCTTCTCCTACTACCCGCACAGCCTGTGTTAACCCGGAGCTCTGCTCCTGCCTATGGCCTGGCCGATGGATGAAACGGTTGTGCTGCTGCTGACAGGGCTGCTGGGCGCTCTGGTTGGTGCTGCCTTGATGGGACTCATGCTGCTTCTGTGCCTCCCACTTTCTCATTTTGCTGCTCCTGCTACCCTCGCAGCCTGCACAGACCCGGAGCATTGCTGCTGCCAATGGCCGGGGCGATGGATGAAACGGCTTCTGTATTGCTGACAGGGCTGCTGAGCACACTGGCTGGTGCTGCCGTGACGGGACTCGTGCCGCTGCTCATCCTCGCTGCTCCCGCTATCCACACAACCTGCATAAACCAGGAGCTCTGCTGCTGCCAATGGTCGGGAGGGTGGATTAAGCGGCCCCTGTGTTGCTGGCAGGGCTGCTGGCGGCACTTGTTAGTGCTGCTGTGGCTGGGATCCTGTTGCTGCCAGGCAGGAATGGCGTGCTGGGCATGAATGAGTGGCACCACGCCAGCACCCACTTCAACCAAATGTTTCTACCGAACGTGAGAATGTGCACGTGTGTGGGATTGATGTTGTCAATGGGGTGTGTGGTGGTTTGTCTTCCTAATGTGGTATGATGCCATGACTTGTGCCAGCATCCGCGTCCGAGTCGTCGCGCACAGATGTATGTTTCTTCCTGCACTTCCTCCTGCTTCAACTTTACTGCAACAGCCACTTAGCTTCCTCTCGTGCCTACCGCAGAACCTGTACGAGCCATAAACCCTGAACCCGTTGTTCTCTTCACACGGTTGCTGCACGTGTGTGCCAGATGCACTCACAACCAATGCAGCCGCGCATGTCTCCCATGAATGCAGCATGCAGATGCCCAGGCAACCGTCCCTTATCTCACAGTCTGCTGACTTTTGAGCGACTCAAAAGGCAGGCGTGCATGCCTCCCATGCATGCATTGCAAAATGCAGATTCCCAGGCCACCAGCTCTTATCTCACAGTCTGCTTTGCTTCATCACTTGCCAAATCCAGAGTCGGGCATCTGCTGCTGTACTCACATGACTGATTCAGGCAGCAGATGATTCAATACTAACACCAACGCCAACACCAACAGCAGGTGCAAGTCATCCTTCTAGCTATGGCGACCGTCACAATACTTCTCTGGTGGATGGACGTCACTTAAGCACAAGTCAGAGCGCGGGTGGTCCGGCAGGGATCGGCATTGAAAAAGGGGCTGCTGAAGCTGAAATCTGCAGCCGTATCATTCTTGGTATGCCCTCTCTATCCCATGAGCCATGGCTCATGCCCTTTCCATGCCATAGTTCAGGTGCTTGCCATGCCGTGAGTGAGGCCTTCGGGCCTTTGCTAGACCATGTCATTGTTATGCGATGAGTTATGCTTCTTTATGCGCCATGCATCATGACACCAATGCTCCTAGCAGCTCTCGCCTCTGCGTCCCTTCCCCACTGCGGCACCTCCGGACCAGTCTACTGACTGGTTGCAACCACAATTGTGCACAGCCTTATTGTTGTTCTTAGGCTAATTTTTTAGGCGCCTAAAAAGTCGTATGTGGCACGCTTGGCCAGTCAATTGTGCATAACCCTGCGGGTTTTCTGCTTCCAAAAGTCTATTTATGGGCTGCTATGCAACTTTTCCTCTCTTCGCTTCCCGTCTTCTCTTCCCCACTTCTCTTCCTCTCGGCTGTTCCTCTCGTTACTTCATGTTCCCCTCTCACTTCCGCTCCCTTTTCCTTTCTCTTTCCCTCTCTCGTCCCCTCCCTTCCCTCTGGCTCTTTCTCTGCACCTCTCTGCCCACTCTTTTCCGCTTTCTCCTCGTTACCTTCCCCGTTCTTCCCCTCGTCCCATTCTTCACCTCTATGTTCCCTTCTCTCTTGCTGTCAATGCGTGTTCTGTGTCCCCTCCACTCCCCCCCCCCCCCCCGCCCATGCCACAGGAACGTTCTGCCTCTGCTCTCCATCTCAAAACCTTGTGAGAACACCCACCTGGTCACCCCTGTTCACACATCCATACCTTCTATTTTTCCTCTGAATCCCTTTTCAATCACGTGTCAGATCTCATTCCCTTCTCCCCTACCTCATTGATTCGAAGTTTCATTTTCTCCATTCACTGATCTTCTGCCCTTGCATCCTTTCTCAGCACGATGAGGCAGGGAGCCCAGGAAGAGGCTCCTGTTATTTCAGGCCAGCAGGAGACAACAGATGCACTAACTGTGGCCTTGGAAGCTCGAATAAGTGCGCTTGATTGGCAGCTGGAGGAGATGAGGAGGGAATTGGGGGAGACATGGAGGGAATTGGAGACAAGGAGGGGATTGGAGGAGGCCGAGAGGATGAGAGCAGAGGATTCAGGAGGTTCGAGAGGGCGAGTGGAGGAGAGAGAGCGAGAGGTGATGCATGTGAAGGGGGAGTTGGGAGCAGTTAAAGAAGAGTTGGGAGCAGTCAAAGAAGAGTTGGGGGCAATCAAAGAAGAGTTGGGGGCAGTCAAAGAAAATTTTAGAGCAGTCAACGAAGAGTTGGGGGCAGTCAAAGAAAATTTTATGGCAGTGAACGAAGAGCTGGGATCAGTCAAAGATGAGTTGGGAGCAGTCAAAGATGAGTTGGGAGCAGTGAAAGAAGAGCTAAAAGCAGCAGTTCAGGGGTGGTTGATAGCAGTCAAAGGGGATTTGGTGGAAGAATGGGTAGTAGTCAAGGAAAAGTTGGTGGGGCAGTTAATAGCAGTAAAGAAGGAGCTGATTTCAGTGAAGGGGCAGTTGCGTCGACACGGCTGTCGGCGGAAGGTGAAGAGGAAAGGGAAGCAAGCAGAGGAAGGGGTGCGCATTAATGAGGTGGAGAGGCTGGGGGTGGGAGGGAGTGGACGGTTGGCAGCGGTGGAGGAGTGTGAAACGCCAGTGCACGAGGAAGCGGATATGGAGGAAGAGGTTAAATTGCTCTTTAGTAAGGCTCTCAGTCTTAGAGTGGTTAACGAGATGAAGATGGTTTGCGCTCCACCTGATGATGGTTTGCGCTCTGTCTGATGATAGCTTGAACTCTGCCTGTTTATGGTTTGCGCTCTGCCTAATGATGGTTTGCACTCTGCCTGATAATGGTTTGTGCTAATTTCTATGATTATGGTTTGCACTCTGCCTAATGATGATTTGCACTCTGCCAAATGATGGTTTGTGCTCCCAAACATTCTTCTCACATTTGAAATAAGCTCTTGTTATGCAGAGGTTGTCAAGCTGCAATGCAAAACCATTCCCAATCCAGCAGCAGTGATCAATCTCTTAGAGGTACCGTTTGACTGTTCATAAGTACCGTAACTCTGGGACTACATCTCGCCTGAAATTCCAGAAACAGGAACTTCAACAGTTTGAATCACCGACATGACCGCGTACCATGTGCTACACACACACCCACGCTGGGATCGTCGCGAGTTACCATCTGTAGCTCTCGCTAACCGAAACCAAAACCGAGGCGAACCATGCAAAACCTTGCCCTGCGACCGTGCGAGGGCTGAAGGCAACTGGATTCAACCCACCACAAATCGTTAGGCGTGAGAGCCATCCATCCCAAGGCGTAAAATACCCATCGCAAGGCGTGAATTACCCATCGCGAGGCGTGAGACTTTCGTCGCACGCAAAAGGCCTATCTGTGCGGCATCTGATCCGCTCCCGCTACCATCCTCTTCCTCTTCCTTGTTTGTTCATAGCGTTTCCATTGTCGCATCCATTTCCCGACGATCGTTCAGGCCGTGAAAGTTTTATCCGTCGAATGACACGATCTTGGTAGGTTATAAGGCGGGTCCTCCCTCGGCATCATAAGCTGCAATTTAAGCTCTTTTGCGAACCTCGTCCCCGTCTACAGTCGGACGCACATTCCCCTCAACTACAAGTGCGCGTGTGAGAATGCGTTCCGTGTTGGTATCTCCCCTCACTCATTTTGCTACTTACTTAGCTCCTCCCTTTCTCCCTTGCGATTACCATCAGCTCCATTACTCTCTGAAGAATAAGTCTTCTCCTCCCCCACCCCCTCCCGTCCCCCTTCCCAAAAAAGAAAAGACTTGCCACAATCACTCTGCCTTGAGCATACCTTGCGGTGTCCTACGCATCCGTCATTAGAATCCGCTACTCTCGCCTCCTTCTCTCCGTCGTAGATTGACAGAATCCGCACTCTCGTCACTGTGCCTCTCCTCTCGCCCCTTCTTGACCTTTCGTGCCCGTCTGTTCCTCAGCTCTCGAACCTTTTTACGCATCCTGGTCATTCCCAAGTCATAACTGCCCTAACCGCTTGACCCGTGCGTTCTCCTCCGCTTCCCCATTGTCAGTTCCACCCATCATGCCCTGCTCTCCTTTCTTTCCCCTCCAGCCCACGGCGTCTACTCGTCACTTGTTCCACCCCCTCTCCTAGCCATTAACCTGCCTCCTTTCTTCATTGCGATGCTGTACTTGATGCTGTGATGTAAATCACTTCTGGTCCTACTTTAGGCAGTCTTTGGTAGTTGACTACTTTTAGATGCTGTAGGGTTTTGGCCTGACCTCTAATGCCATACTGAGTAGTTTTTTAAGCTCGCAAATACATAAGGTGTTCGCATTTTAAGTATTTGAATGATCGTGTACCGGTAGTCATACTTGCAGAGTCGCATTGTAAGGACAATAGAAAGTTCAACAAAAAGTTGAACTTTCTGTTGTCATGCGCTGTACTGCTCAACTTCAAGCGTCCTTGCTACCTTGATGCTGCCGTGTGCAGCGTTGATATGCGGGGAGACAACGACGGTGTTGGGGGCCCATCAAGGCACCAAGCGGGAACTGACGGGCTGTTGCTGGTGATGGAGATGAGACTAAGGGCGCTGGAATGGCAGCTGGAGGAGACACGGAGGGGACTGGAGGAGGCTGAGAGACGCCGCGTAGAGGAGATGAATTCAGTGAAAGGGGCAATGGTAACAGTGCGAGGTGAGCTGGTGACAGCGAAGGGGGAACTAGTTACAGTAAGGGGAGAGCTGGCGACAGTAAGGGGGGAATTAGCGACAGCAAGAGGGGAGCTGGTGACGGCAAGGGGAGAGATGGCGACAGTGAAATGGGAGTTGGAAACAGTTAAGGGGGAATTAGCGATGGCAAAAGGAAAGTTGGCAACAAGAGAAAAGGAGGAGACATTTAGGGAGGAGCTGGTGACAATGGAATGGGAGTTGGAGGCAGTGAAAGGAGGGTTACTGGAAGCTAAGAGGGAGTTGGGTGAACAGAAGGAGTGTTGGCAGAAGGTGAAGAAGGAAAAGCTAGCTTTCGAGGAGGAGGTGAAGGAGCTGAGGAAAGGAGTGACTTTGGATGGGGCAACAGTGATGTTGTGCCCGGCACCGAAGCTACCGGAAGTTGACGTTGAAGAGGAAATTAAGAAGAGCCAAGGAGATCACAAACTGTTTTGGCAGGTGTGTACGATTGTGGGCCCTTGATTTTGGAACCAGCTATATCCGAATGTGATCCGGAGGAGGTGGGATGAAAGAGGGAACGTAGGGCCTGATTAATGGAAGTATGAAGTGTTGTGAGAGGGGAACTGAGGGACTTATCCTGAATATGGTTCTCACTGACTTTCTTTTCCCTTTCCCCCTTTACCCTCAGAGGGTCGATGCAACATTTAATACAACTCTAAGTCTGAAAGGCCTCGTCCATCTCTCTGACGCCCTCCTCGCCCACGTGGCCACCATGACTCACCTCAAGCACATGCACATTGACACATCCTCTGGGTTCACCACTAAGGGCATCAAGTGCCTCTACTCGCTGCCACAGTTGGAGCATCTGGAGCTGAAGGGCAGTGTTGTCACCGATAGCACCCTGAAGGGCATTGATAGAATCCGCTCTTTGAAGCTTCTCTACCTCAACCGCGCTGAGGTAACTGATTCTGGGCTGCAGCACTTGATGTGTCTCACTTCCCTCAAGACTTTGATATTCTACAAGTGCTGGAAGGTGACGTGTGCTGGCATGGTGCATGTGGGGGGGATGACAAGCCTCGAGGAGCTGTATCTAAACGGAAGTGGAGTAAAGGATGATGGACTTTTGTTCCTGGCACCATTAACCCGGCTCAAAGCGCTCGTCCTTCCAGATACGATCACTGATGCTGGCATGCAGCACATCCAGTACTTATCTGCTCTGGAGTGGTTGGACTTCAATTCTAAAGTGACCGAAAAGGGGGCTAAGCTTCTTGCAAGGCTACCAAGTTTGAAGCTGATTACAGCGTGCGGCGGCGATTTCCGGAAACTGCTGAGTGATGTTCTTCCAGGAGTGGAAGTGGGCAGTGATTTTCCACCTGGCACAGTTTTTGGAGATTGATACTGTGCCTTGCCGTGTATTCGAGTACCTGTAGGTACCTTATTCTCTTGTGCAGCGCCATTGTCCTTCGAAATTTTATGTAAGCAAAGCTGGCTGTGCTTCGTGGTGGTATGGTGCTATCAATACCGTATGGCCCCGGATATAGGCGCCGTCCGATTAACGGCGCCGGCGCGAGCATGGCGCCTATGGCCAGAACTCGATTATAAGCGCACCCCCTGAAATTTCTATCCTTATTATAAGCGCATCCGTTAACCTTACATGGGAGGCATTACAAATGATTTCACTAAACTGCCTATTTTTCTTAGCAACTACAACATCATGTTGCTAACCTACAACTAGTCTAGCTGGGGTACTTCTACCTAACATGCATCAGCCAGTACCCCTCCTACTCCTCGTCAGATTCGGGCTCCTGGCAGTTGTTGCCAAAAAAATCATCAGCGATGATGTCATCGTCGACATCCACCTCCGCTGTCAGCTGGGTCCGCCTGTGCGCCATGGCGAGGTTGTCCTCGCTGCCGTCGAGCGCGTTGCTGATGCCACAGGTGAGGAAGGTACGCGTGATGAGGTCGGGCGGCACTGCCCGCCAGGCCTGAGATATCCACCGCAGGACGACCTCAGCTGGAGGCTTCTTCAGATTCCCTGAGACATACGGTAATAGGAGAACGGTGGAAAGCCGCTAGTGCATAAAAAAAACTCGGGGGGGGGGGGGGGGGGGGGGGGGGAAGTAGAACAAAACCGTACTCATGCCATACCTGCCGCGGTCAGCTGCGCTTGCCCCTCTGCCTCAAACCACCTCTGGTACTGCTAGCGGACCGACGCCTTAAAGCGTGAGCATGGGCTGATTGGCAATGTGTTGCGGTGACACATGACTCAGAGGCGAAGGAGGAATAGGAGGCGCAGGAGGCGAAGGAGGAACAGGAGGCGAAGGAGGAGCAGGAGGTGCAGGAGGCGCAGGAGGCTGTGGTGGCTCTGGTGGTTCTGGCGGGATACGTGTGCACCACCCGTCAGCGTCTACTGTAAACGCGGGCCTTCGAGTAGGCTTTTTCTTGAACAAGAAGTGGGTGCCGCTGAATTCCGCCATGGCTTCCGCAGCCAGGTGGAAGTGACTAAGAAACTGAACAAGAAACTGAGAGAAACGGTGCACAAATGAGAGATTCAAAGGGACCCCTGCTGGTTTGCGCCTCGGGGTCCTCGTCGGGGCGAGACGGGTACCCCCTGTCTGAACCCGGAGAGGAGGGTATCGTGGCACGAACATGATGCGCTGGCAGGTCATTCCACCGCCTTCTCGATGGTTCGGGTGAAATGCAGCTGCCTGCCACCGCATGATAGCCTGATTGGGCCGCATGGCAACTTTCACGTCAGCGCTGGCAGATTCCCTGCTCCTGGACGGGGTTTGTGCGGTCGGGAATCGAAGCGCGGCAGTTTTCGGTGGGATTTCGTGCATTATCTCACGCGCACGTTACACAATTGTGTTCGCCTTACTGCGGGCTTCGATTCGGTTCTTTAAAATCACAAAATCATTTTTGCCATGATATAAGCGCCGGCGCTTATGGCCGTGATTCAATTACAAGCGCCACCCCTAATAAAAACCGATTTTATTATAAGCGCAGATGCGCCTATATCCGGGGTAATACGGTACAACTAAATGTTCAAGATCTGGACTTCAATATTTACTTCGCTGCGAGGAAGTTTCCTAATGCATTCCTGTGGTACCAGCACTGGAGGCACTTATGGTACCGTATTGACCCTTAGGTAGTTCATTGCATTCTCATATGAAGGCAGTGTCTATGAGAGCTATAACCATCATGTGATGCATTCCATGCAAGAGTTGGTTAGTGCAGTGCTTCAAAAGGAAGTGCTGTTGTGGACATTATAGTGGATATGGAATGGGAGCAACCCTTGACGTGGACATTGTTGTACCTGATTTGAAGAAGTGAACATGGTGAACGCTGTAATGACATGAAAATTTATATTATTACCGTACTCCCACCTCATCCTATTACTGATAGGCAGCACATCCTGACTCCAGTACCGTTTCTCATACTTATCGTCAGCCTTTCTGAGCACGCATAGCAGCAGCAAACACACACTACCACATCTATAGAAAAAATCAGACAAGCTCTGACCACACCACACCAATCCACCCAAGACAGTGTTGAGGAACACAGTACAGTACGTATCATGCAACGGCATGCCTCAGAAGTCGTTTCAATCACCCATGACAGCCCCAGGATACACAGCATCGCTCACTTCCACTTCTGGAAGCACGGCCTTCACAAGCCCCTGCAGCATGCTCCCACTTCCCACCCTCAACTGCTTCAAGTGAAGCAAGCCCTTCAACAGCTGCACACCCTTTGGTGTCACAAGAGAATGCCACAATTCCAGCCAGTGCAGCCCGGTTAGGTGCTGAACATGCTCCAGGCCAGCGTTGGTAACCCTTGGTGGAAGGATGAGCATTCTGAGGTTGGTGAGTGGAGCCAAACACTGCAGCCCCTCGTTCCTCACCCCACTACTATTGAGATACAGCTCCTCCAGGCTCGTCATCTTCCCCGCATGCACCATTCCAGCACAAGTCACCTCCTCACAATCATAGAGTATCAAGGTAACGAGGGACGGAAGGCTGGGCCCGCATCAGTCACCTTGGTGCGGTTAAGATACAGAAGCTTCAGAGTACTGTTGGCCGCCCCAATGCCATCCAGGGTGCTGTCAGTGACAGCGCTACCCTTCAGCTCCAGCCGCTCCAGTTGAGGCAGAGAGTAGAGGCACTTGATGCCTTCCAAGGTGAAGCCTGATGCTGTATCCATGTGCACGTGCTTGAGGTGAGTCATGGTTGACACGTGGGCAAGGTGGGAGTCTGAGAGGTGACACAGCCCTTCCACATTCAGGAGCGTTGTTGAGTGGACCCTCTGGAAGAGAGGGTGAACAGGGGAAAACAGTGAAAAACGCCAGTAAATAACAGAAAACGCATGTGAAGATTAGAGAAAAGCAAGTCTCATAGATGGGCATCTATCGATGCATCCAGCACTCATACACACCTGCCAGAATGACTTGACGTCGCCTTTGCTCGTCTTTAGTTTATCTTCAACATCCAGCTCCTCATGCCTTGGAGTTGGTGTTTGGCACTGCTCCACTGCTGCCGATTGCCCACCGGCTGTTAACCTCAGCCCACTGATCTCTGCTTTAAAAGCAGCTCTTTCCTTTTCCAGCTTCCACACGCATTCCTTCTGTTCAAGCAGTTGCCCTTGTGCTGTAACCAGCTCCCCCCTAACCGCTACCAATTCTCCCTTGACAGTTACTAACTCCCCAGCAACTGCCCTTTGACTGCCATCAAATCCCCCTTCACATTCATCACCTCACGCTCTTTCTCCTCCTCTTGTCTTGTCAAATATTCCCCCAGGTTTCGTTCTCTTAGCCTCCTCCAGCTCCCTCCTTGTCTCCTCCAATCCCATCCTTGTCTCCTCTGACTCCCTCCTTGACTCCTCCAGGTCTCCCCTTGTCAGCTCCAGCTGCCCTTCCATAGCACTTATCCGACCTTCCACGGTCGCTTTCAGTGTGTCTAGTGCCTCCTGGTGTCTTGAAAGACCGGAAGCGTCTTCTCCCACTCCCTGCTCGCTCAGGCTGAGCATTGACACCAGGACACGAAAACAGTGGATTTCAATGTTGAAACGTCAAATCAACCAGCAAAGAGAAGGGATGTGACACGCATAAATGAAAAGGGGGTGGAAGACAAAGGCACAAAAGGTAATGATGTGTGAAAACTGCTGGTTAGGTGTGGAGTTCTCACATGGTTTTGTGACAAACAGTTGAGGCTGCATGTTCCTGTGGCACGAGGATGGAGGAGAGCATTAAGGGCAGACACTGAGGGAAGATAAGAGGGGAAAGGAGTGGGGAGAGAGCGGCATGGAGAGGGGCAGACAGAATGAAGAAGGGGGTTGCGAGAGGGAAAGAGAAAGAAGAAAGGGGAAGAGTGAGGGGAAGAAAGCGGCAAGTGAGCAGGGCACAGAGACATATCGAAACGGTATGAGGAGGGTGGAGGGGCAGAAATATGAGACCAAAGAAAGCTCTGTGATTTGAGAGGAGAATGACGAGGGGAAGAGAAGAGAGACAGAGTTGCTTGACAGCACAAAGATAAGTGGAAGCAATGGGATAGAGTGATGACTGGTCCAAGCATGCCACAGTGGGGAAGCAGAGAGGCAAGAGCTGCCAGGAAGGAGTACTAGCGGACGATGGATGGCGGATTAAACAGCATGACTCATCGCATAGCTAGCAAGGGCATGAAATATCGTTTAGCAAAGGCATGAGTTATGGCATTGCAAGAACCTGAACCATGGTGTAGCACGGGCATGCCTTGTGGCATACCAGGATGGAAGCAGCTGCACTTCGCAGCTTCAGCAGCCCATCCTTCAATCTTAAGCCCTGCTGGACCACCCATGCTCTGGCCTGTGCTTGATAAACGTCCGCCCACCAGAGAAGCATCGTGACAGCTGTCGCGACCGAAAAGACCATTTGCACCTGGTGTTGGTGTTGACATAATGGTATGGGAATCATGTGCTATGCATGGGCCATGCGGGGGTAGTGCGACATGTGGTTAAATGGCAAAGGAACACACCAGATGCATTGGAACCACCGCAAGAAAGAAGCCTATGAGTGGCTGAGGGATGGCTACTTGAGAGTTCATAATAGCGACTCAAATACAGCCCGCTTCCCCTTCACTTCACTCACGGAGATTTGGAGGAGGTGCAGAGCGGTGGCTAGGAAGTGCACATGTTGAAACGAGGACTCATGCTCCTGGGCCTGGAGATGAGGCATGCAAGTGGAAAGAGGGGGTAGCAGCAGCATTGGCAGGAAAGTGATACGCAGAGTCGGTGTAACAGGCTGGTTCCCTTGGCATCTGCTGCATCTCTCGTGCGTGGAGGCATGCATACCTCATCCATCCTGCAAGAGGTCCTGGCGGCACATACATGGCACACAGTTGGCACACACCTGACCTGGCTCAAATGGGCTCGACAGGAAGCTAAGGGATTGTTGAAGGCGTAGTTAAAGCAGGAGATGCAGGGAATAGAACAGCGGATGCAGCAAATCAAACGAGGATGCTTGCACATGCCACCGCACCACATCTCGCTAGGAGAACAAACCACACACTTCGCTCGCAATGTCTAAACGGCACATCCTTGCTCACGTTCTGTGTGGGGTGGTTGCTGGCGTTGTGTGACTCATTCTTGCCTGGCAGTAACACGAGTCCAGTCACAGCGACAGCAAATGCGGTCAGCAGCCCTGTCAGCAGCACGACCGTTTCATCCATCCTCCCGGCCATTGGCAGAAGCAAAGCTTCGGGTTTATGTAGGCTGTTCGGGTTGCGGGAACATCAAGATGAGGAGGGGGGAGGACGGGAGCAGGCCAGAGAGAGCGAAGGGGCAAAATGAAGAGGCAGGCGCAGACGCCTCAAGAATGAAGGGGCAGGATGAAGAGGAGCGGGAATGTGGGGGCAGAGGGAACTGTGGATTTAGGGTAAACAGCAGGGAGGGTATTGAAGGGGAAGAGGCAAGATGAAGTGTTGGAGAGAGACGGCGCACCAAGCGTGAGGCCAGGCGGGGGAGTTGCGGGCAAAAAGGAACACGAGCAATGCAGGTGTCTCTTTGGAGAATTCTCAGAAGGGGTGAAGATGAGGATAGGAGGCGAGCAGAAAGAGGCAGCCTGCCTCTCCTGAGGGGAGCGAACGGGAGGCCAAACGTGGGTGAGGTTTCTGCACAATAATGATGGTATGGTACTATCACTGAGTGAATTGGTCGAAGAGGTGGTAACATGGAGACAGTAACGAGCTCGAGGTGACCTTTGAGAGGAATCGAAAGGCACCTCTTTCTGCAGAATAACGATGGTATGGTGTCACCAGGTATATTGGCGGAAGTTGTGGTAACACAAAAACATAGTGACATACTCGCAAATGAAGAGGTGAGGTGGAGAGATCATTGCAAAATGAAGAGCAATGCGGAGAGGAGCTGGCAGGCGGAAATCCCGGCATTGCGAGCACGAGAAAGGAGATGCCGAATCCAGACTGCGATACAGATATGTGGCCTTTCAAGTACCAAAGCCTTTCACATTCACGATCCGCTAGGCGTGCACCGAGTTTACCACTAAGTTCTTGGTAGTAAGTGCCTTACTGCTCTCTGAAGCTTCACACAGAACCGTTGCGACCACTTTCGTGCAAGGGGCGTCGCTTGACGAACCGGGTATGGAATCGGAGGTCAGGCTGTCGGCTAAGGAAGAAGTGACTCGCTAAGGGAACACCTCCGAGAAGTCCTTGGACGGTTCCGTTGAAAGAAGAAAGCAGGGCTGTTTTGCGACGACGACGGGGAAGACGACGGCGACGACTCCCTCGCGAAGGGGATCGCTTGAAAAGCTGAAACGGGTAGACCGAGTGCGGGAGAAGATTCTCGCGCATCGAAGGCGAAAATGGAGCAGAGGAGGGATATGAAATGGGTAATGGTAGCAACCAGGAGCCGAGATGGGTCGTCATGATGGCGTGTAGTGGGTAACGCTCGCTCGATCGCCATGACGTCGCACGTGGAAAAGGTAAGGACGGGAGATGTGTGAGAAGGACGTGATGTGAGCGATGAGACGGGAGGTTGATGCGATAGGGATCACGCCTTGCGACGGAAAAATGGAGGACGCTACGCCTTATAAGACGTTGTCACGGCTTGCGATGATAGCCTCAGACTGTCGTAGGGCGCGGTTTTTCGCAGACTAGAAGGACCAGATGAGATTTGCCCTCGCAATAGACTTTTCGAAGTCGGCTTTGTTCACCGAGGCCAACACCAGCGCAGGGCCGGTTTACATCGCCGAGGCATACACCTGTATAGGAACGACTCAGGCGGGTGTTCTGTTTACGAGAGCTACGGTTGGTAACTCGCTACGAGCCAACCAGTAAGCGTGTCAGCATGCCAAACGTTGTGCGGTAAGGACGCGGCACCTGCAATTTTGCACAATCGATCGCAGGATCGCTAATTTCCACCGCACTGAAACCCTGCTGAAAGCATTACAACTTTCAGCTTCTCTGATCCCGTCCAGGTCCGATCGCAGGAGGGTGCTAGAGGTGCCGCGTCCTATGTTCACGTTGTTAGTTTGAGTTACGAGTGCAACTGATGAAGTGAGGTAAAACCCATTCAAATCAATCCAGTGTGCGACAGTGTGCGATCATTGCAAGGCATGAAGTCATCGCGAATTCTAAAGCCCTCATCGCAAGGCGAAGAATCCTCATCACAAGGCGAGAGATTCTCATCGCAAGGCGAAAAATTCTCATCGCAAGGCGTGGTTTCCTCTGTTCTCCCCTCGCAAGGCGTGACGGCTACTGTTTTGACTTCAACCTCCCTTCCTCGATACACTCAATCAGCCGCATCCTGTCTCATCACTCACACCTCACACCTTTTGTCGAGTCGTGTCGCCTCGATGTCATCGCATCCGACGGGCATGGTGACGCATCTCCCATCCATCATCATCATCGTTTCCACGTCTGGTGTCTCGGCATACGAGCGTCACCCGCTGACTCCATCATGTCGACCCATTCCATCGCCTGCTTGCTGCTACCAGCGCGCCGATTTCGTTTCCCGCCTCCTCTGCCCCATTCCTCGCCGTCGACGCTTGAGATCCTTCTCCCCGCGCTCACCTTACCGATTTCAGCGATCACTAGAGGCCTCTTTTCTTCCTTTCAACGGAATCGCTAGAGGAGTCTGACACCAGGTGTTCAAGGACTCCTGGTCTTCTCCCTTTTAAAGTCTGAGCCTCGGCTCCGAATCGGGGGTCGTCAAACGATTCTACTTGCACGGCAGTAGTCGTGACGGCTCGGTTCGAAGAAGCGTGAGAGCACAGAAAGGCCATTACCTTCTACTTATCGGAAAAGGGAAATGACCGTACTTCAGTGCACCTAGTGGAAGGGTCAACCTACAAAACATATTATCTGATGCATGGAGTTTGGAAGGCCACAAATCCGTTTCGCAGTCTGTTTTTGTTTCGCTTGTTCGTTTTGCCGCTTCCGCCCTCCTGCCAGCTCCTCTCCGCGTTTCACTTGACTTTGCATAGCTTCCTATCACCTCTTCGTTTGCGATTTTGTTGCTGTTTCCCTGTTTTACCACCTCGTCGGCCAATATAGTCTGTGATACATACCATAAGTATCCTGCAACCATTTCTTGTAGAATTTCAGGACCAGTCAGCCGCCCGTTCACTTCTGCTCGCTTCCCTCCTCACCTCCGCCCCATGCCCGCATACCTTCTTGCTTGCATCTTCCTTTACCTCGCCTCACGTTTGGCCTGCCATCTCTCTCTCTATTGCCGTCACTTCATCCTCCCTCGCCCTCGTCCATCTCCTCCGCGTCTATTCGAAATCATGAATTCTTTGTGCTCCCAATTTCCCTCTTCCTCGTGCCTCATCGCCCTCTCCGCTTCCCCCCTTTTCCTCTCTTCCCCTCCACCCTCCACCCACGCCCCCCCTCATCTTGGTGCTCCCGTCCTCCCCACCCCCTCAACTTGCTGCTCCCCGCTACCCGCACAGCCTGTGTTAACCCGGAGCTCTGCTGCTGCCAATGGCCGGGAGGACGGATGAAACGGTCGTGCTGCTGACAGGGCTGCTGGCTGCACTGGCTGGTGCTGCCGTGACAGGACTCGTGCTGATTCCAGGCAGGAATGGCTCGAACCAGACGTTCACACAGAATGTGAGCAAGCAAGCGCATTTTAGACCTACGAACAGAGTGTGCGTAATCTCCCCTATGTGTGGTCTGGTGTGGTGTGGTGGTCTGCGCAAGCATGCACATTTGCGATGCTACGCAACTTCAATTCCCGCAACTCCTGCTTCAACTTCCCTTACAACAACCTCTTACTTAGCTTCCGCTCTTGTCTACCAGTTGAATGAAGCTGGACAGGAGCCCTCACCGTTGCTACAGCTTTGTGTCAGCTGTTTGCTGCCACCCATTAGTGATGCAGGTGTGCATGCCTCCATGAACCAACTCCTATCACCTACTCTGCTGCCCTCGCTTGTCACTGCCCTTCCTTTCCATGTGCGTTCTTCCACTCCAGGCTCTGGAGCCTGACTCCTCCGTTCAACACATGCACGTCCCTGCCACGGCTTTGCACCTCCTGCAGAATCTCGTAAGTGAAGGGAGAAGTCAGTCAGTGTAAAGCTTCTTTTTCAATCCAGCTGCTGCATTCCCATGCCATTTATTCATCTCATCCTACCTGCATGGCCAGAGCCCAGGCATGAGTCACGTTTCCATTTCCACTATTTCAACACCAACACCAGGTGCAAATCGTCTGTTCAGTCGCAACAATTGCCACGGCGCTGCTCTGGTGGACGGGTGTCTCCCAAGCACAGGCCAGAGCGTGTGTGGTCCAGCAGGGCTTAGCGTTGAACGACGGGCTGCTGAAGCTGACAAGTGCAGCCATTTCCTTCCTGGTATGTCATGGGTCATGCCCTATGTATGCTTCTTGCCCCATCTCTGCCCCTCTGTGCCCCTCTTTCTGCCCCTCTCTGTCCAGCTCACTTCCTACTGTCATTCGCTCTCTTCTCATTTCTTCCCTCCTCTGCCACTCTCTGCCGCTCTCTTCCCGTCTTCCTTTCCCATTATTTCCCCTTTCTTCCCCTCGTCCCTCACTTCCCCTCCCTCTTATCATCCCTTCTCTCTGCCCTCAATATCTGTTCCTTGGCCCCTCCTCTGCCCCCTCCCTCCCCGTGCCACAGGAATACGCGGCCTCAACTTTCTATCACAAAACCTTGTGAGAACGCCCCATCTCACCAGATTCTGCTCACACATCGTTACCTTTTGTGACCTTGTTTCTTCCTATATTTTCTTCCACACATGTCATGTCTTGTTAACACGAATTCTCTTATTTTTCCACCTGCCATGCCACTGCATCTTTCCTCAGCCTAAAAGAGGACGGAATGGAAGAATATTGTTCCGTTGATTCAAGGAAACAGGAGGCAGTAGATGCTCTGAGAGAGGCTATAGAAGCTCGAATGAGTGTGATTGAAGGGCAGCTGGAGGAGACACGGAGGGGACTGGAGGAGACAAGGAAGAAAATGGAGGCTGAGAGAATGAAAGCAGAGGAATTAAAAGACCGGAGAGGACAAGTGGAGGAGAAAGAACGAGGAAACGGGTATTGAGGAAGCGATTAGGGGTATGTTCAAGAAGGAAGAGGATCTATTGCAGCAAGCCGGGTAAGGCTCTCAGTGCTGAAGTAAGTCATTAGGCATGAACACAAGCAGGTAAGGGTAGTCGTATGCTCTAGCATACATGATTTCGGTTGATGGCGCTCTGAATGCTGCTATGTTTGCACACTAACTCCATGATTCTCTTTTCATTTGGAGTCATAGCACAAGGATTTAGGACGTTGTCTGGTGATCCGTCGCATAGTTTGTGCTCCCAGATATTTGCCAGTGAAGCAAGCAGCCTCTTGTAATGCAGAGGCTGTTAAGTTGGAAAAGGAATTGGCTTTTAGTTGGAGAAATAATCGTATCGAAGTAGAATCTGCTTTTCAAAACGTGCGGACCACATCTATCCAGGTGGTAGACCCCGATTCGTAACAGGGAAGGAATGGGGGGGTATTAACCTTGTTGCCCTTGCTTATTAAACCCTTGGCATTTGTGCATGTCACCTCACCTCATCATGATATTAAGTTTTGAAATCTATATCCACTGACCTCCCCTTGCCCTTGTTTCCTTCACCAGCGTGAGAGAAGGTGTGCCTGTTCGTTCAGGGCACCCGGGAGGCACTAGAGGCGCTGAGAGTGGCCGTGGAATCTTGGATAAGTGCACTTGAAGGGCAGCTTGGAGAGACAAGGAGGGGACTGGAGGAGACAAGGAGGGGACTGGAGGAGACAAGGAGGGGACTGGATGATTCATGGAGGGATCAAGAGGAGACCAGGAAGGAATTGGCTGAGACAAGGGAGGTGTAGAAAAACAGACCTAATGTGCACAATGTGCACAAGGAGAGGCTGGTTCTGAAATGCTGAAAGGTTCTAGAAGCAGTAAATCAACTGAACTGATGAATACAAGCAAAACAAAGGCTAAAATAGGCAGAAAATGAGGAGAGCTAGCTTGGAGGCGACTTGGGCTGGTCCAGGTGAGGAATTTGGTATCCAAGGGACTTGGGGTGGCCAAATGGGTGCTCAAGTCGCCCACAGTCAAGATGGGGACGTGAGGGACCCTCAAAGTGGGCCTGGAAGCGCCCCCTACAGTGGAACCGCGATTCCACGAATTGGAAACGCGAATTCCAAGTTGGAGCCGCGTTTCCAATGTTGAAATTCGTGGGTCCAGGCTGGAGCCGCGTCCCCAATATTGGGAAACGTGCTGAGGTGCCCCAAAGCCGAATTTGGGGTGCCTAGCACTTGATAAAGTCACTCAGGGGGCACCCTATAACTAATATAACCCAACCCCTATTGTCTACACTATTATAATGTAAACAAATACGTACAAACTTTAAATAAACTAGTGAACAAAACCTGCAGCAAATTTAAAGGAAAATAAGTACCCAACAACAGGAGGTATTGGGAGTGGCAGGGGAGAGTTGGAGATACGATGGAGACGAATATTGGGAAATGTGAATAAGGTGAGAATGCAATTTGAGGTGAGGGGAGGAAAAGAAGGGAAATGAACGAGAAGGGTGAGCTGGTAGCAGTGACAGAAAAACTGGTAGCAAGAGAGGGGCAGATGCTTTGGATTGGACATAAGGGATTCTTTGTTGAAGGTCAAGGAGACCTTTTCACCTTGAACACAAGGTCAAGAAAGAGCTGCTGGTGAGGAGGGTGTGAGCGGGCTGCTGCGAGGAAAAGCAGGCTTATTGGGTTGCTTCATTTATTTATTACATAGATAATTCGTACTCCTCATTCCCATTCCTACCGCTACCACGTAATTTTACCGCTTGCAATTGTCAGAGGTCCACTGGGGATCCCCGATGATCCTAGGGAAGGGTTACAGGCACGTCGGCCTGGGGGGTTATGGGCGCACTCACCCGCTATATAAACAAGCCCTTTTATCCCAGTGGTTAGTGGCTGGGATTCTGACATGGTATCAGAACGAAGGTCTCGGGTTCGATTCCCGGTGTGTGCACTTCGGGCATCCCAGTGCGGGGGGGTGTCAGAGGTCCACTGGGGATCCCCGATGATCCTAGGGAAGGGTTACAGGCACGTCGGCCTGGGGGGTTATGGGCGCACTCACCCGCTATATAAACAAGCCCTTTTATCCCAGTGGTTAGTGGCTGGGATTCTGACAGCAATCTCTCTACAGAATTCTTCTACAAGACACTCTGATAAACAAGAGTTGGCACTGTGGTTCATGGCTCTCTTTAAATAAACCCATTCACCTCCAAATGCCCTGAAGTGCCCTTGCTAAAGGGTGCCGTTGTCGCCATGAAGCTCCTCATTTCCTGATTCCAGTCGCTCATCTGACATGCCGAGCCTGGCAAAAGTGCTTGCCTGAGCCCTGATGTGCCGGGTGTAATGGAAAGTAACATTTCACAACTAGATTTTTGGAAAGAAAAAACTTGTCCAGTATGAGTCTCGAGCAACTGGGGCATTATTCATATCGCGTACCAATTTGACGCCAATCGCAAGTTACCACCCATACCTTTCGCAAGCCACACCATACGTTGGCGTGAAGCCTGACACGGCGAAGTGTGTGGCGAGACCGGAATCCAGGCGAACGTCATGCAAAATTTCGTCCCACCACCATACGAAGCGTGATTGGGTCAGTCAGCTTGGTATATCTCAACGGAACGCAGCTGGCGAGGAAACGACAAAGACGACGCCACAAGACGACAAACTGCCCCGGGCAAAAAAAACTAAACCCCAGACGGATGGCATGCCATTCGGGAGCCTCAACCCTAAAATTTGAGGGTTTAGGCTCCTGAATGGCATGCGGGTCGCTTCGGGGTTTAGTTTTTTTCTGCACGGGGCAGGGTGACGCTCCCGAAAGCGGCACCCCCCAGCGTCACCCCGAGCAAAACGGAGCGCCACCCCCGGTTGCGTAAAACTTCATGGAAAGGCGGAATTCTTGTTTTCAAGAGCCTTATCCTCCCAGTGCTTCCCTGTCAGCGCTTTTTTCTCGTCCGCAGTCACTTTTGTTAAACTGTATTATGCTTGTAGGCTGTAGTGGGGTAGCCAATATGGGGTACAACCCCAACTAGGGTTTCATATTTGTACCCAAACTTCTGTTAGTTCATTCATTCTTGCCTAGTGATTCTGACATGGTATTCAGAGCAGGAGGTCCCTAGGACCTACCGACCGTTTTTTTAGGGCCCACCACCGCTCGCATGCGGTTACCACGCTACCCCGTGCCCTAGCCTCGTAGCGCCCTCGTGCGCCCTCGTTAGCGCCCTCGCGCGCCCCTCGTTAGCGCCCTCGCGCGCACCCTCGTTAGCGCCCTCGCGCGCCCCTTCGTTAGCGCCCTCGCGCGCCCCTTCGTTAGCGCCCTCGTGCGCCCCTTGCTAGCGCCCTCGCGCGCCCCTCACTAGCGCCCTCGCGCGCCCCTCGCTGAGCCGCCCGCTCGCAGCCCGCCCGCCCGCTCGCTGCCCGCTTCGCGGCCCGCTCGCTACGCAGCCCGCCCGCCCGCTCGCTGCCCGCTTCGCGGCCCGCCCGCTTCGCAGCCCGCTCGCTCGCTGCCCGCTTCGCGGCCCGCCCGCTTCGCAGCCCGCTCGCTCGCTGCCCGCTTCGCGGCCCGCCCACTTCGCAGCCCGCCCGCCCGCTCGCTGCCCGCTTCGCGGCCCGCCCGCCTCGCAGCCCGCTCGCCCCGCTGCCCGCTTCGCGGCCCGCCCACTTCGCAGCCCGCCCGCCCGCTAGCTGCCCACTTCGCGGCCCGCCCGCTTCGCAGCCCGCTCGCCCCGCTGCCCGCTTCGCAGCCCGCCCGCCCGCCCGCTGCCCGCTTCGCGGCCCGCCCGCCTCGCAGCCCGCTCGCCCCGCTGCCCGCTTCGCAGCCCGCCCACTTCGCAGCCCGCCCGCCCGCTACCTGCTTCGCAGCGCCGCCCGCTGCCTCACTGCCGCTGCTCTGCTGTGCCCTCACGCCTGAGCTATGGCCTCTATTCGCGTTCTTTCCTTCGATGCTGAGGGCCGTCCCGTGCAGTTCACTTCCTGGCTCGACGACCTGCAGTTGTATCTTATGAGCAATAGCACGGACCACATCTCCCTCTATGACTACGCGTCTGGTGCTGCCGCTGCTCCTGCTGCCACAGCCGAGCTTAGTGTCCGTTCCCACTGGCAGACTCGTGACGCAGCTGCTCGCCTAGCCATTCGCAGTCACCTCCCGCTAGCTGAGCTCGAACATTTTGGCGACTGCAAATCCGCTAAGGCCCTGTACGACGCTGTCGTCGCTCGCTACTCCTCGCCTGCCACAGCCGAGCTTAGCCGCCTCATGCTGCCGTACCTGTTCCCCGATCTGTCCACCTTTACTACAGTCGCCGATCTTATCACCCACCTTCGCACTAGTGATGCTCGCCTGCGTGCCGCCCTTCCCACCGAGTTCTGCGCTAAGAACCCCCCTCCACTGTACTGGACACTCCACTTCATAGTCACCCGTCTCCCTGACACCCTCCGCTCAGTTCGAGACCACTTCCTTGCTCGCTGTCCCACTGAGCTCACAGTCGCCCTCCTAGAGGAGCAGCTGCTCGCGGCCGAAAAGAGCATTGTAGCTGTCGGTGCTGCTCGTGGCGCTCCTCGCACCCCCATCTTTGAGGGGTGTTCTCCCTCTCCCCTCGCTCCCTCCTACGCTGCTGCTGCTGCTGTTGACTTCCTTGGTGCTGAGTCTGTTGGCGCTGCTTCTACTCCTGGTGGGAGGCGCCGCACCGGCAAGGGCAAGGGGGGCAAAAGTGGTGGTGGTGGCGCTGGGGGGGGAGGAGGTGGGGGAGGTGGGGGGGGAGGCGGTGCTGGAGGGAGCGGTGGCGGGAGCGCTGGTGGGAGTGGGGTCGGTGGTGGAGGCGGGGGCGGCGGAGGAAGCAGTGGCAGTAGTGGCGGCGGCGGCGGTGGCGGTGGTGGCGGTGGTGGCGGTGGCGGTCGGAGCGGTGGCAGTGGTGGCGGCGGAGGTCGGAGTGGAGGCACTGGCTCGGGCCAGAGCTCCCAGCAGCAGCAGCGTCCCCAGACGACCCAGCAGCTTCGTGAGTGGCTTGCTCAGCGTGGGACGTCGGGGGCCAGTGCCCGCTGTTCTTATGTCATTCGCACAGGTGACCGCAAGGGACAGACGTGTGGGAGGTTCCACACCCCGTACCGCTGCTTCTCCCGCCTTGACGACGCTTGGCGTGAGGAGATGGGTGCGGATGTTGAGCGCCCCCGCTGGGCTGAGCTCATGAGGGCTGGTGTTGATGTCTTTGCTCTTGACTATGATGCTATTATTGCTGCCATGTATGCATTGACTGTTAGTGCCGAGGGAGACTGTTACTTGTGTGTGCCGCCTGACCCAGGTATAGAGCCCGCTGCCCTGGGTACTAGTGAGTCTGCTCTCTCTGGTATGGTGCCCCCTGTACTTGCTCCCTCCAGTGCTGTCCCGGCTGTTTTCGAGTCTGCTCTCTCAGGTACAGCACCCACAGAGACTGCTCTCTCAGGTACCGCACCGGCTGAGGCCTGTCACACCTTCACCCTTGACTCAGGTGCTTCCCGTTGCTTCTTTCGTGACAGTACTGAGCTCACACCGCTTCCTGCACCGGTCCCAGTCTCCTTGGCTGACCCCTCTGGGGGCCCAGTCCTTGCCCAGTCCACCACTGTCCTCCCTTGTCCGGCGGTTCCGTCTGGCTCGTTGTCGGGTTTCCACCTCCCCTCGTTCTCGACGAACCTGGTG